TGTATGTTTAGTACGTGATATATATATATATATATATATATATACAAATGTTTAGCCATGTGGTCATATCATATGGTAGAAATTATGTACATAAAATGTTTAATTTTGTCCTAATAATTTCAGATATAAATAACCTGTAGAAAATGTATGCTTATTCGGTAATGTTATGCAAGGATGCAAATGGCTTAAATAAAACATTTACTGTTGTAAAATTGGAATGTTAATATACAGTGGAACGTAAAAATAATGGTCATGTGCTACTTTTTATCATTAAAATATCCAATACATAAACTATTTGATAAAAAAAGACGGTGTAAATACTCATCGTAGTTAATCAGTTGTAATAACTTAACTCATGCGAACGTTTTGGACAATCATATATATTGCGAACCGTGATGTCTGTCCGAGTGTTCGTCTGTCTCTCGTTTGAAAAGCTGCGCACGCAGGCAAAGCTCAACATTCACTTTTGAAATGACGGGAGAACAGACATGAATTATACTGATGCCAAATTTTATTTCGCGAGCAGGTTATTCTACACCACATGTTGTTAGAATTAATCACACAACCATTCACTTTTCTAAATGTGATGTAACTTAAAGAACAAAAATGTAGATTTATCGTATGTTATTGTTGAGCGGCTCTTAGCATGACTGAAATACTCAACAGTTACTTTTCGAGGTGGGCAGTATAAGCCAATAGCTGAGAACTTTGGCTATGGGTGAAACCAAGAGCGCAACACAATCAAACTTCTTAAGTTCATGAAATAATTTAAATTGATAGATTAACTTCAACTTTTCCCGTCACTGGGGACGGGTACTTTTTTGCAATGTATATGATAAAGATTTTTTGGAATACAAGTTCCTGATATTTGGTCATTTTTCATCGACTGATTTAGTTTCGTATTTGTTTCAAAACAAAGTATAACTATGAAGTTTATCTTAAGGTTAAGTAGCACTTTCATCTGGTGATAACTGGATTAAATCTGGAAGATTTAAATTTTCTTGTGCTAAGTTGAATTAAACACTTTGTTTATTCCTTAGAGTGCGTCTGGAACAGGGTTAGCTTTCATTGCATTTACAGAGGCTGTGAACCAATTTCCTGCCGCCCCCTTGTGGTCTGTTCTCTTCTTCTTAATGCTCTTTACTCTTGGCATCGACTCTCAGTTTGGAACGCTAGAGGGCGTTATCACGTCTATTGTTGACCTGAAACTCTTCCCGAACCTACGTAAAGAACTTCTGACAGGTAAAAGCAAAATTAATATATTACAATAAAATTTTACAACGATCTTGTTCAATTTAAAAACCTGCCTTTCGCTATTAGATGACGTTTCGATCCACTTCTGGCTTACTTACACAGTTTGTTCGTTTTAACAACGTTCGACTGAATGTCTCGTAGTAACTGTGCCTTTCAAACAAAGCAATAACTTGTTTACTGTTACAAAATGTCACTCAAACTCGGCCGGCGCACGTATTTTTTAGAAAACGTTTAATCTTGTAAAAATCACTCAAACTCATTCGGTATCCTTATTGTTTATAAAATGTTTACTGTTCTAAAAATCACTCAAACTCGTTCATAAACTTTTTATTTTTCTAAACACTACTCAAACTCAGTCGATATTTTTTTCAAAAAGAATTTACTGTTTTAAGAATCCCTCAGATTCATATGGTATCCTTGTTGTTCATAAAGTATTTACTTTTCTAAAAATCACTCAAGCTCATTCGGTACTCTTATGGTTCATGAAGTATTTACTATTCTAAACATCACTCAAGTTCAGTCGATAATTTTTGTTCATAAAGTATTCAATGTTTTAAAAATCACTCAAACTCAGTCGATATACTTTTTTATAAAGTATTTACTGTTCTAAAAAAATCACTCAAATTCATTTGGTATCCTTATTGTTCATAAAGTACTCACTTTTCTAAATATCACCTCAACTCAGTTTGTACCCTTATTGTTCATTAAGTATTTACAGTTCTAAAATCTAACTCGGTCGGTACGCTTATTGTTTAAAAAATGTTTGCTGTTCTAAAATTGAACTTGGTGTGTACCCTTATTGTTTATAAAATGTTTACTGTTCTGAAAATCACTCAAACTAGTTCTTAAACGTTCTTCACTACTCAAACTCAGTCGATATTTTTTTCATGAAGTATTTACTGTTCTAAAAACCACTCACATTCATATGGTATCCTTATTGTTCTTAAAGTATTTACTTTTCTAAAAATCACTCAAGCTCATTCGGTATTCTTATGGTTCATGAAGTATTTACTATTCTAAAAATCACTCAAATTCAGTCGATAATTTTTGTTCATAAAGTATTAAATGTTTTAAAAATCACTCAAACTCATTCGATATAATTTTTGTTCATAAAGTATTTAATGTTTTAAAAATCACTCAAACTCAGTCGATATAATTTTTGTTCATTAAGTATTACTGTTGTAAAAATCACTCCAATTCATTTGGTATCCTTATTGTTCATAAAGTACTTACTTTTCTAAAAATCACATCAACTTAGTTTGTACCCCTTATTGTTCATTAAGTATTTACAGTTCTAAAATCTAGCTCGGTCGGTACCCTTATTGTTCATAAAATGTTTGTTGTTCTAAAAAATCAGTCAAATACGGTCGATACCCTTACTATTGATAACTTTTGTCTTTAAAATACAACATTGAATATTACCAAAACAAATTGCTTCTTATGAATTTTAAAATTCTAGTTATGAAAGCAAACACTGACTCTGTTCATTAGGCAACTATAGCAAGTAGTACTTGACTTTTAAATTATATATCTGTGTGATTGTTTTTTATTTTTAGGATTCACAAACACTTGGTGTGTTATTAAATTCGTTAAAGCAGCAAATACAAGTTGTTCTTACCTCTATTGAAATGAAAGTTTGACTAATTTTTCTAATTTTATTTAATGTATGTTTGGATATAAAAAAATTATTGTCTTTGTGGTAAATAAAATAATCGTTATTCGATGAGTATTTGAAAACAAACAATTCAAGCATGTCTAACAGTATATGTGGAATTGCAAATTTTTGAAGTGTATAAGTTAGAATTAAAGAAGAAAGGCGGATTTTTCTGACAATGTATGTTGCGGTACTTATTTTGAAAGTTTATGGATCGATCAGAAGTAAAAAGAGACGACATTTGCTAATAATATACGATGTATTCTTTATTTGGACAGTATGTTATGAAGTGTTTATTTTGACTCAAAAACCAAAATATGCGTACTACTCTAACATTTTATGTTGAAGTGTTTATTTTGACTCAAAAACCAAAATATACGTACTACTATAACATTTTATGTTGAAGTGCTTATTTTGAGGGTACGTGACTCAAAAACCAAAATGTACGTACTACTCTAACATTTTATGTTGAAGTGCTTATTTTGACAGTGCGTGACCCCAAAATCAAAATATGCGAACTACTCTGACATTTTATGTTGAAGTGCTTATTTTGACGGTGCGTGACTCAAAAACCAAAATATACGTACTACT